AAAAAAAAAAAAAAAAAAAAAAAAAAAAAGTATTCGGAGCGATTAGAATCGACGGTCGAAAGAGATACGGACGACAAAAGAGAAAAAGTCGTTCCAAAAGTTCGTGATAAACAATATTCTTTGTGATGAAATTCTTGTCAGGCAACGCAACACTAATGTTGCTGGGATGACCAACGCGCGACAAAGCAACATACAATTGGCCATGCGCAAAAACAGGTTTGCGCAACCAAACCCCGGCACAAGAGACAGTTTGTCCTTGCGACTTGTTTATGGTCACAGCGAACGCACGACGGATGGGGAACTGTCTCCTATTCCATTTAAACCCCGTGGTTTCACCATCACTTGTCAAATCGATTTTGGGGATCAGTGTCGTTTTACCGGTGCGCATTATGGTCACTTCCAACAAATCATCATCAACAATCTTTTTAAGAATCAACCTTGTGTCATTACAAAGTCCTTGTTTGGGCGACAAATTGCGCAACAACATCACAAGCGCACCAATTTTCTAGCACAGTTTGTGAGGCGGAAAACCAAACTCATCGAGAGAATTTAAGAACTCGCGCTCGATGCCAAGTCCGTGATCATCAGAACCATGGTAATCAACATTATAACTTTCACGCACCTCGCCAGGGAAATCGTTGAGAACCATGTCATTAACACACCCCACATTGTCATTAGTAGCGCAGAGAATCAATCGAGTGTAAAAATAGTCAGCATCCCCAACGTGTTCACAGACATCCTCAAACATCCAGGCAATCAAATCACGAATAAGTTTATCAGTGCAAATCTCATGCGGCAGTTTGACCATGGCAGGTTCGTTAGGAACAAAACGAATATGATCACCATTCCCAATACGCATCAAAAACACGTCATACATTCGCGTCATTGCATCATCCCCTAAGCTTAAGATCCGCATATTCTCAGTCAAGCAATGGACCTCAAAAAGTTTCCACAAAGGAGACATTTTGATAGAGACATCAATTTGCTGTGCTCGAGACCCATGTTTCACAACCGGCAAAACTTGTCGAAAGTCCCAGAAAGAAGCAAAACCTTTCCTCCAAACGGGAGGTTACTGTTACAGACATCTCGAAGCGTAATGTCAAGAGCTTCCAAGTGGAACTTGTTGCTCATTGGAGCTTCATCCCAAACAATCAAGTCGCCACGGCGGATAAGTTCGGCAAGATCACTCTGTTTTGGAATATTGAAGGGATGCGTGTTATCAGGTTTCAAAGGTGCTCGAAATCGCGGTCAAAAGAGTCGCCGCTATCCCACTGGACGCCACAGCGAGTCCAATACCATTACGCTACCCGATCCCCACCAAATTTGTTTCTATGCAAAAAGTCTTTCCTGTTCCCGCCGGCGCATCTACAAAAGCATAAAGCGTCTGTTTTTCTTCCACGGCCCGAATAACTCTTTGCACGAGCACTTGTTGGCGCGGCCGAAGACGCCGAAAATTAGGCTCTTTTAGTTCACATTTCAATCGGATCATACGACAATTCGTCATTTATAATCGAGGACACAGTCCTGTTCTCGTAATGCCTGTTTATGTTGTCCGCAATCGTTTTTCCATAAGGGGTCGGATAATAAAGACCGAACAGGCAGATGTTTTTGCCAGACTCATGCAAGATACGGTCAAAGATCAAAGAGCACTAAACATTGCAAAACGATCGGAGGCAGAATCTGAGAGCCCGCACGATACTGAAAATCATCACACATTTTTTCCCAATGTCGTTGAAAGAATTGAGCAGGATCGTTGACCGGCCCAAATAGCAGAAGCATAGCGAATACTTTACGACCCTCTGCAGGCATATAATGGAGTGCGACCGTATCTATACATTGATTATATGCATCATCGGTTTGCAAAAGTCATAATCGAAGACACACCGATCGGAACGAATCGTATTCGACTCCATCGATGGTACGAATTTTCGCAAAAGAGCGTGCTCCACGAGAGTGTTCATGGTGTAACAACACACGAAGATAGAAGCGTTCGCCTTTCGTGCCCCTGACATGATGCAATCGAGATATCTTTTGGAAAAGAGTACCATGAAGAGCATGCTTTCTTCTGTTCCACACCTTATGTTGATTATCCCACACATGAGTTTTAATAATTTCATAATACAAAGGAAGCTCGTGTTTAGGAACACGTTCCTTCAAAGAGTTGTGCTCCATCCATGCCGTCAATTTTGTGCTCGGCGGTCCGCGGGAAACAACATGATCTTCCATGCCTGGTTTGAAGACCACTTTTTGCATGTTTTCGATATGCACCGGCAATCTTACGACTGCAGACCACTGTTCCGCAAGGTCGAACTCAAACAGATGCCAACATGCCTCGCATGCACCAACAACACGCATATCTTGATATTGACTTCATCAACAGGTGCATTATTATCTTATTCGCAAACCATGGCACGATCACCCCCTTTATACACGTACTTATACACATACTTGCACGCCTTGATGTTAGCACAACATTCGACATTGATGTGGCAGTTAAACCTCATCAGCAAGTACGGGTAATACGGGACCACTCGACGATTATCATAAACAACACGATTTTCAACGACGGTAAAGCCATCGTCACTTGGTTTTCTTCTCCTATACGAAGGGTAAGTTTGTTCATCTTTGAAGGTTGTCGCGGAAATGAATTCTTTCAGAAACCCTTTCGTGCACTTTCCGTTCTCGGTATACGAAGCATCATTTTTCTCCTCACCGCAAATGTTGTGCAACATGAATTTGACAACCCTTTCTCTCAATTCCCCTTCAGGCGGAATCTCCGCACACACCATGTTGTCAACAACATCTGCATCGCGGATTTTATCATCCGGATGCAAGATAACCAATATTTGTGCATGCGTCAGACCCCTTTTTTGGAACTCAACTACATACAACATTCCATCGACCCTCCCAAAAATTCGTTTTTTCTTAATCTCGTCAACGAGTTGGGTGAGATAACCTTTGAACACTCGGGCAAGAACATCCGGCCTGTCGGTTGCGCATTGACCCGGCAACAACGCTTGTTGGATCTCTGGCCAGTTTGTGTTACACGTCATAGTGATAAAAAAAATCTGGTTTTCCAAACCGCCTCACGATTGTCATGCTGTCATGATATCTTTCGGTCATATACCGCGGTCCCCCAGTGAAGGTGGAGGGCAAAAGTATTTTTGTCCCAACACCATCACTGTGCTGATTTTGTTGCACAGCGTCTCGCAGGTCCTGATAATATTCTGACCGCAAGTCTTTCTGATGGAATCTCACCCATTTTAAGCGAAGGGATTCAACCTTAGCGTAAGCCATGCAACAAAACTCATAGAAAAGACGCGCCGCATAAAGAAGCCAAAGTCTTTCACCATCGCGTTCGTGTAGGTGAAAGGCGTAGTACTCCTTTGCACTGAGTCCTGGCGGGCCATCCAGCTTCCAAGGCACGTCGGACGGACCAATTATGAATTCCTTCCGGGAAGAGTAAAACAAACCTCAAACAGTCGTGCGCTCGAGAACACTCCGGAATGACAACTTTTGGCCGCTCACCCGGAAGAGGGGCACGTAAACGAATCTCGAGCTCACGAGGAAGAAGGTCATCCGCCATGAGAGCGCAGACCTCCTGTAGCCCCGACGGACGGTTATAACGCCTTACATGTTCCTCCGTGGGCATGGCATCTGGATTTATGACCAACTTCCTTCCATTCAACACTCCCGGCGGAAGGTCGGCAATGGTCATGAAGTCCCTCACGTAGTTGTTACACTGTTGTAGCAACTCGTGGAACCTTCTTAGTAGTCGTCTCATTTGCTGAAGTTCGGCATCAGACGTGTATGCAGGTAAATTAAGAAAATCCACTCGTTGATCAATCGCATCATCCAAATGTTGAGGATCGTGCAAGTAAAGTTGTGCAAGCTGAATACGCCCCCCTTCCCCCACAACCAATGAACCGGCACGATGATAGATCGGACCCTGAGCCCGAAGTTGGCCTTGGAATCCTTGGACGTCATCGCTCGGTTGTTTTAACCGCGAGGATGCGAGAGATAAACTATTATTGATTATCCTCGCATTCTTTAGAATGAATCGCCCGTCGGGAGTCTGAGACGTCCAAATAAAAAGAATCTCATGCTTCGGCAACCCTTCTCGAGATCATTCTCACAGAGGACAACGTCTCGTACCTTTTCTGCAACATATTTTTGTCCATTTTTTTTCATGATTCCACAACTTAGCACCACAATACTTGCACGGTTCTCGACCACCAATGCCGAATGCCTCAACCGTGCTAGCACCCGTGACAATAGCCACGGTGTTCTCAACCGCTGCATACGGTGTTGCCACGGGTACAGACGGGAGTGCATTCATATCAGCAGGTGGATCAGCATCCAAATCATTCATTTGGTCATCCTGATTATCCGGCTTACTATGTTCCCGATTGTTCATTGAATTTTGAACAATAACGGACGAATTGTGCGACTGCTCTGCTCTCCCCGACATACTTTGGGATTTCATCGATCAAGAACAATGACGATGCGTTTCCTTCGAAGAAGAAGATGCATCCCTCGACTGGCCAGAGGTGGTTGCTCGAATCTCTCGAAGAATATTTACAGGGACCAAACTTCGTCTCACACCCCGCAAAAAACGTTTGTGAGCATCCATATCTTTTTTGCTCCTACGATTCTTAATCGCAGCTCTCAATGCACGCATACGTTTAACATGACAGCTTGCCCGTTTTTCCAGCCTCTTCTTTCGAGTGGAAATTCCATACGATGTAGACCCCGGTTCATCGCTATTCATCGTATGAACTTGCTCTGTTGCACCACCACCGCTCACTGTACTTTCAACAACTACCGCATATACATCAAAGTCGGGGAACACAGCCTGACGTACGGACGACAACGATCCAAGGTTCAAACGACGCGCGACTTTAGCGGCGCGCAGTGCCCGAAGGCGCAACATACGATATCGTCTATTGCGCCTCGAACGAATCGGTTTCAATATTACCGATCTCCTTCGGAGATTATGAAATCCAACAACCTTCCTAACCATTGCGTTCGGGGAATTTGGCGTACGAACATCAACATTTTATTGACTCCTACGGAAAAAAAAAACAAGGACTTGCGATATCATCCAACAATGGAGTCGGTTGTTGGAAAGATAAAGATCTATCACTACACTGTTCTTCCATAGAACAATCAAGGCCACGATCATGAATTGTCATCAGTTGTTTGTCACTTCTGTGAGCAGTCACATCACCCATAGCACCTACCGGTTGTAGTAAAGACCCTCGAGTCCGACGACTCTGGGAAGGAGGTCGACCACGTTTGCGATGTTCATCTTTTGATGACACGCGTGTTTCAGTCATAAAGGAACAACGAGTAATATCCGAACGTGCGCACAATCCTAATCTATCATTTAACGAAAAAGAAACATTCTGCAACGAAGGAAAATAAACTTGAGCAGAATTAATGGCAGGAGTGTTATCACAGTTCGGTATCGTTGAAGAAGACAACAAAGGAGCGGTAACAGGTGTTTCACAACGGCGAAGGCGTCGTCGACGCTTCCGCAGAACGTGCAAGGACCTGTCGACAGAGGAAGAAGAGTTCGGAGCGGCAAATAAATGAATGTCGCGTGAATCCTTATCTATGCTTTCATCCCCCGCCATTAAACGGACGTATAATGCATCTCTTTTTAAACGGCGATAACGTAAAAATCAAAGGATATGAGAAATATGAAAGATATAAAAATCAGTGAGATGAAATATATCCCAGAATGTTTGTATACAGATGTAATTATGGTATTATGGTGGTAAGAAAAAAGATATAGTGTAAAGCATTTAAAAAAAGATAAAAATATTGTCAAAGGATAAACGAAGGTGACAAAACAAAAAATGAAAAACGAACAGAAGAAAACGTTGAGTTCACATTCTTTATTTTTTATTTTTTTTTAAATGTTTATGTCAAGGGAAATGAAGGTTAATTAACTGATGACAAATCTTATTTCTTCTCTTT